GTTTAGCACTGTTCATTAGGCAGTCCCGCAGACCCATTATTGTGCGGAACCGGCATGCAAACAGTGCCAACTAGTTTGTGAACAGTGTCAACACATTGATAAAAATGGCTGTTATGGCGCTGCCGCGTTTTGGTCACGCGTGACCGTCGTGGTCCCGCGTTTTGGATCTGTGGGACCGTCGTTTTCGTGTTTTAGAGCTGTGGGACCGTCGCAGGATGGGTATATTTTTACAAATCCTTACAATGCAGATATATAAACGTAAATTATTGAAAAAATAAGTATATTAGTAAATTTTTTTTCATCATTGCTCCTCTGTCCATGAAGAGTATTGTAGCGTGCTTGCCGATATGTAAGGCAATAGGTATAATTTTTGGTACAAACAAATTTGGTATAATTTTTTTAAGGCAATCAATCTGAATAAATAAACTTAAGTCGACCAACAAACATTTACATCGTCTCGTTTGACATTTAAAGTTGGTTTTGATTTTTTTCAAAAGAATGTGAAAAAATTGTGAATCTGAAGTCGGCGAGGCGCCTCCCCGTGAACCAACCACCGGTGCTCCACGGCGGCCTTTGCCGTCAGCCTCTTCCTGTCGCCATCTCATCAAAGGCAAGCAGCCGAAGGTTAACACACCGCCGCCGAGTCTGCACCCCTCGGGCCGCCCTCCCTCCGTGGAAGGCAAAGGAAATCACACATGAAGATGCATGGAGGCGGCGTGTCACGCCCAGAAATTCCCGAATAGAATTTCAAGCAGAATGTACATTAAAACCCTGTTCAGGACCGGCCAGGGTACACAAACGACAAAGTTGATATACAGATCCACGTTTTACAAACATTATAAAAGTCTTACATAAATGCAGCGGAAAATAAAAGATAACTGGAGCTAAGCCTTGACTTGGTTTGCAGCGGGAACACCACTCCACAGGCATCCTCGACGGCACGGACGAAGTCTACTCCTCGGAGAAACCACCATCGGACGCATACTTGAACTCTGAGGGTTGGGAGATAGAGCAAGAACTACCCACTGTACTCAGCAAGTCCTACCGGAATGGAGGGTATGATGCAAGGTATAACCAAAGGACAGCTAAAAGAGTTCATTTGTATAAAGCTAGCATTTATAAACAGTAATTGAAAGCAGTAAAACAGTTGTAATAATTAGCCAATATTAAACCAACCACTGCTCAACGCTACACCACGTTGAGATATGCCCAAACCACCACCTGAACTAATCAGTTCCATTAAACTTAACCGTGGACACGGCTATTCGAATAGTTTTACTATAATCAGAGATGTACAATTGTACCCATAAGACACAGCCCCACGACACGTTCCCATGCGTTGACATGCCACCACGACGTACTAGAAGGAGGCCGTGACAGGACTCTTCGCATAACCCCCTCTAACCAAGCACACCACACCTCAGGTTTCACCCCCACTCCTCGCAAGGCAGCGGGCAGTCCCCTCTCGTGCCTAGGTGAATCCGAAAGCCGCATAGGCCGTCGTAGGGCCCATCCGAACTCCATCACGCCCACCCTTGCCTGGATGCGTCAGCTAGAGGGAAGCTACACTACAAGCCCAGCCGTTGCCCATGCTGGCTTGTGGTAAGTACGAGGAATTTTTCCAGGGTTTCCCGCGAACCGGTCATTAATTGCCATGGGCGCATGATGGCGGGTGGTGCATGGTGCTAAGGCGAAGGAGAGCTCGGGAGCGGATGGCGAAAGAGGGAAAAAGGTGGAGGAGGAAGCGGTGGTGCTTTATATAGGGCTGGGGAGGTCGGACGTGGCCGAGAGAGGCGGGGAGTGGCCGGCGAAGTGGGGGAGGTGTGGAGAGAGGGAGAGAGAGGTGGGATTCGTTTTCGAATCCCAGCCATCTTGGACGTGGGTGCGGGCTGGAAAGTGGGGCGGCGGTTGCAGGGGAGTGCGGGGCGAGTGCGGGGAGTGGGCGACGTGCGTGGGCACGCGTGGGAGAGGCGGGCGGCGGCGGTTGCGGGCGCGGGCGGCGCCGGCCGGAGGTTGGGGATGGGCCTGACAGGTGGGCCCCACCTGTCAGTGTCTCGGAGGGAGGAGGGGGCGCGGGGCGGCAGCTAGGCCGCTTGTTGGGCCTCGGCCTCGGGCCGGCCCAGCTAGCGCGCGGGGAGGGGAGGGGAAATGGGCCGACGGCCCATTTAGGGAAAAAGGCGGGAAAACGAAAAAGAAAAAAGGAAAAGGATTTTCCAGGGGTTTAATAATTGCTTGTGCTCAATTTTAATTGGTTAAAATTATTTCTAGAGCTCTGAAAATTTCACTAAAAATCCTGTTAGCATATTTTGACATGTAGAACCCAAGAAAAAATCCACATACTATTTCCAATTATTAATTGCATTTATTAAATTAGGGTTTCTCTCTTGCCATTACTCAAACAATTTCTTGGGGTCATTTATTAAAATGATTTAGGCTTGGGAGAAGAACTTCAGGGTGTGACACGGCGATACCCTGAACCCTCTGATGGCTATTGCGGCTGCTGCTGCTGTTGGTACCATATATACACTTTGATTTTTTTCCTATGTTAAACTTCTTTAATTTTAATCAAATTTATAATGAAATATAGCAACACCTACAATACCAAATTGCTTTTATTAAATCTAGAATTGAATATAATTGGTTTTATTAAATTGGTTTATTTTGTGTTGAAAATGTTACTATATTTTTCTATAGATTTGATCAAATATATAGAAGTTTAACTTAGAAAAAAGTCAAAACATTAGAGGTAGTATAATGCTAGTGCCACCAATAATGATCATCGGACTCCAACCGTCGAACGCCACTCATGGTTGGGGAAGTCAACATTAAGTCATCCCGTGCTGCAAGGTGAGTAATGGCGATCTACCTGCCTTCTTAGTTCGATCTCTATGTTAACGTTCCTTCGTTAACGCTCACGCCTACATGTGGTGCTTGCTGGCAGTCATGCTGTGAGAAGTCTACATGGTATTGGTCTCCATGGTGATGATGTATATTGGATCTGTTCTTGCTGGACGTGCCCGTCGCTATGAAGTGGTCTGAATGTTTGCTCTCTTTGAGAGAATTTTGTAATAAGTGATTGTAGCTTATTTGAAGTAAAGGCAGGAATTTAATCCATTATCCAAAAAAATCACCTTATCATTTTCAAAACTATATTGACATCGAAATCGTAACCTAATCATGTGATTTTTTATAATATTAGTTTTTCTTGTTGCAATGTATGAGAAGATGAATGAGCGAAGGGTTGATGCAATGCACTCAAATTTTCTGGGAAAAATTTTCGCGAAAAGTTTTAGTTGTGCTCTTCTCGACTTTTCCTTTGAAGCAACCTTACTTTCTTTTAATCTCTTTTACTTTGGACCTAAATTTTATTTGTAAAGTTAAATGTTCTCTTTTAAATTTTATAAAATCCTTATTTATTTCAAACTTTATAAAACCCTCCTTTTTATTTCTTTCGACTTTTACAAAACCCCTCCATTTATTTCTCTAGCCTCTAACCGTTGCTCTGGGATATATTTCCTTTGGATCCTTTCCCAAACATCTCTAGAGTACATGAAATACCATCTCCCTAGAGTCAACACTTTTCCTTTAGAGCTTACCATTCTACCACCAATTCTGTTCATATAGAAAAATTCTTATGATTCCCCATCCACATTTATTTCCAAATCTAGATTTATTAAATGTTCTTACTTATTGATGGCGCGTGAATCACTGATATATCAGTGTTGTTAACACGTGGATCTATATTATTTTATCATTTTATCTAAAAATAAAGTAATGTAACTGCTATAAGAAATATATATCTAAGAAATTTCTTTACAAGCTGCAATCATATTTTTTATTTATGCAGTTTGTGTTTTCCCATGTAGGTACACCTGGAAACCAAGATTTGTGAATATCTTGAACACTAAATTATATAATTTACAAAGAAATCAAAACCAAAAAAATATAGAAATATAAAACACCAATTCTAAAGAAAATGAAAACATAGTTACCAAGCATTCTAGTTACAGATGGGAATTGAGATGGCACCTGCAAATCGCGCATCTGCACAAGTGGCTGAAAGTAAACTGTCGGGCTTTCCACCGTCGGAAACCTGATAGCCGAGGGTACCGTCGGCCATTCGCTAATTACTGACCACTGATCGCCGATGGGAAATTAGGCCGACGGTTTGCCATTGGTCACTAGTATTAATTACCGTGTGTTTTTGTGTATAGCCTACGGTTATCTCACACTAGGCCAAAAAAGTAAGAAATCTTGAAGTACTTGGTTCAGAGTCTCAATTATTTTTTTATATTATTTACTAATTCAAAATTTGGGGAGAAATTACCAAAATTGTCATGATTGTTATGTACCTATATCTAACAATAGAAAGAAAATAAGAAGAAAAATAGAAACGGCAAGCAAAATGGTCATTTGGCTACCATGGGGGATGAATAGTCATGGCAATATTATGTTATTTTCTTAAGTCGAATTCTCTTCGTAAAGCCATTTAACAACCTACGATTTTTCTGATCGTATGGAGAAAATTGTCTATAAAATCATCAATGCAGGATTGGATAAATAGTATTGATCAGGACAATATAATTTTCAGCAGACATTTCATTTGATGATGAAGCAAATATTAGTTAGCTTTGTAGCTTGTCAACAAACGATTTAGATCATTAGATATATAGTGTTTACTATACAAATAAAAAGCTTCTATACACATTCCAAGCTACTTTAGCTCTATGAAATTCTTGAATGTGATCGAAGTCGTGCATTACATGTATACAACAATATCTAACATGGTCCAAGTTCCACACTACAGAAAATAGATTACACAATCTTGTGCTACAACAAACTGCATCTCTGTCATAGCTAGAAAACATAGGTAGGAGATGCATGCTTGAAGACATAAAGTTATTTCAATCAATGGATACTAATTTATAGGATAGGTACGCTGCACATACCAGAAGATAGATTATATATATAGCTTATTTGCTTCACTTCCAGTTGTTGATCTATAGCTTGTAGAGTTCTTTGCGTTCTGGAGTGCATGTTGCAGAAAGACTCACACTACTATTTGTGCTAAAATCAGCACCAAAACTCGTAGGAGTTGTTTCAATACTAATCTCCTCATGGTGTCTAGGACTCAAATTATAGCTTCCTTGTCCATGCTTTCTGGCTCTTCGCAACATCACAAGTCGTTCTGCTACTTCCTTCATATCAGGTCGTTCTTCAACCTTTTCTTTTAGACACTCCATTGCCAACTTACCAATTTCTTCCAAGATAAAGATATCTTCTTCCACCGCGATCTCCTTATCAAACATTGCCCTCCCACTGTGTACTTCATCATAGGCCTTCTGGAACTCGATGATGAGGCTAAAGTTCTCGCCATATATAGTTGGCTTTCTACTAATGAGCTCTAGCAATACAACACCAAAACTATAAACATCACTTTTCTGCGTTAAACGACCAGTCTTATGGAATATTGGGTCTATGTATCCCATGCTCCCAACAACAAACATGGTGAAGTCTTTATCTACTGTAAGAAGCTTGGATGTCCCAAAGTCTGAGATCTTAGGGACGAACTTGTCTGTTAAAAGTATATTGGCAGGCTTGACATCACCATGTCGTATGGTACAATTTGTGGACGAGTGCATGTATTTTAGACCTTCTGCAGATTCAATTGCAATGTCCAAGCGTATGTCTAGTGTGAGAAGGAGTGAGCGATTGGCATCACCATGGAGAATGTCTTGCAGACTCCCATTAGCGGCAAACTCATACACTAACATTGGAACATCCACCTCCAAGCAACAACCCAATAGCTTGATAATGTTATTGTGCATCATTCGCGATTGTATTATAACTTCATTTGTGAAATCCTCCTTCCGAGCTTCATTTACCTCAATTGAAGTCTTCACTGCCACCATTGTATTATCTTCAAGCGTCCCTTTGAACACTTTACCAAAACCTCCTTGGCCAATAACGTGTGAATTGTTCTTTGTGATTTTCTTTAGATCATCTTTGGAGAAAATCATGATATTGTCCACTTTCTGTAGAATTGAACCACCATTCTTTTTGAAATACTCATTAATTTTTCTCTTTTGGAGCATCATTAGAGTAAAAAGTGCAGCAACTATCAGGAAAGAAAATCCCAGGCTTATGCCTACAAAGATCATAAGTTCTCATTAGCAACGATAACAAATACATTTGACTTGTGATTTTGTTGTTATCAACTTATAATAGAAAATAATAACGAATGCTCACTTGAGATGAATATATATTACTATATATCAACAGTGTAATGTTTATATATATTATGCATGTACGACTGACATGCAAAAGCTAAAGAATTGTTTTTTTTCCTACGAATGAAAAATATGAAAATAGTTAGGATATTTGTAACTCACTAAAGATCATATATGGTTACCAGGAACATATTCTATGTACACATGTTTCTCGTGCGCACCAACTAACAAATATCACGAAAAATTCTATAAAATTAAACATTTACTCCTATTAGTACTACACATATATATAAAGTCTCATATTCAAGTTCATTATATTTTAGCCGTAACAAAAAAAATCTGACAGTTTTCTAGGTAATTAAAAATGTGTCAGAATTTTGTCTTTTTTATTACGACCAAAATATAATGAATTTGAAGATAAAATTTCACATATAGGTGTAATATTATTCGAAGTATGTGTATAATGTTTTGTAGAATTTTCGTGGCATTTGCTAGTTGGTATGCACGGAGTGTGCATAGGATATGTTCCCGGTTACTAGTGCGAATACTTTGCTCCAGTTGATCCATTTGTCCATTGAAACTATCCAGGCATATTTGATAAAAACCCTAACGATATGTGAAAAAGCTTCCATATCCATTTCTGAAAATTTTGTGTATGAAAAAAAAAAATTCGAATGGTTCAGCTCCCTGCCTTTTCATTTCAACCAACCAATTAAAAAAACAACGGTGAATTGCATTTATCTATCGAACTTGGCTTAATTAATTTAGCATTTGTGTGCTCCACGCAGTCCTTTAATTTTAGAGGGCTGCTACAAAACGGGATCCCGTTACAACGGGATAGACATATTAACTATTCTCTTGCACGAGTATCACAGGTATCAGGTCCTAGGTATCATAGGTACCAGATAACAGGTATCGCAGGTATCGGGTACCATGTAGTTGATACCACAACATGTATCAGGTATATGTACTGTCTCATAGAAGAGTATCCCGTTACAACGGGATACCGTTGTCTAGGTTTTCTCTGTTAATTTTATCTATTTGCTACCATGGATGTTTCAGCCTTTTTTGGCCTATTCCAGCGGCAGCAACCCCAGCCCATCGCTGTCAACTCGGACGACAAGAAGGTGCTTAATTTCCTGGATGGATCCACTGACAGATATAGATGGCCAAAAGGCCCGAGGCCCGATGGCCCAGCCCATGGCACGGTATTTTGGCCCGGCCCAAGCACGGCACGGCCCGACGGAGGCCGGGCCCGTGCCGGCCCGGCCCGGCACGGCCGGGCCGGCCCGGCACGATGGGCCGGCAGCTAGGCCCGATACACAAAAAAATAGGGGAGTAAAAATAGACATTATATGCCATGAACGAAAGCATAGGGATCTAAAATAGACTTTTATTATCTATACATATGTCAGCCAAAGAGGAGGGACAGAAAATAGACTTATTTTAGCTATACACATGACAGCCCAAAGAGGAGGGACGGAAAATAGACTTATTTTAGCTATACAAATGAAATAGCCTAGAGAGGAGGGAAAAAAAATAGACTTATTTTAAAAAGGCCCGATGGGCCACCCATGCCTTCGGGCCAGCACGGCACGGCCCGACAGCTGGTAGGTCGTGCCTGGGCAGGAGGTGCAGCCCATGGGCGGGCCGTGCCGGCCCGATGGCTGCTGGGCCGTGCCCAGCCGTGCCTGGGCGGGGCCGTGCCGGGCGGGCCCTTTGGCCATCTATACTGATAGAGAACAAAGAGATACAGCTGACTTGTAGGGTTCACGAGGGGTAAGATAAACATTTCACACGTCTTGTCCACCGTGGGAGTGCAGGCTGGCATGCCATGCATGTCAGCAAAGAGTGAAAAATTACTTATCATAAAAGTAAAAAGTTTGGATTTTGGTTGAAATTGGAGATGATGTGACTGAAAAGTTGTGTGTATGACAAGTTGATATGATGAAAAAGGACTGAAATTTGGATCCAAACTTTAGATCTAAACACAGCCGTAGTATATGAGTTGTGACATTTTTTTTAAAGTGACAAACAGTTAAAATATTCCCCATATTAAATGTCATTGAAGTGCAGCTGGCATATTTTCCACTAATCCGCTGTTATAAGGGGCTGACACTGTTCTATCGAATGTGTTAATAATGTTTGACTGAACAAATGTCAGTTCTGCTCCTGACGTTTCTCTACAAGCAATCCCTCACTTTGGGGCAGGTGACATCCTAAAACGCTAATGCGAGATCTACATACGGCGGTATGGGGTACTTATTCTGAACGTATACATACAAAAAAAATTATACGTATATTATATGTGTATGAACTCCTATTTTTTTATACGCCCCAAATATATGTGTACGTGTGTGTATGTATGACAGCTCTAATCTACACCTCCTATAAAATTAAGTATTTGCAAACATATATTTATCATATGAATTTTGTTGTTTATGTTTCACTCGTTGATATATATGTAATGTTTTGTTGTAATATGTTTATATATTTCATTCCTCTTAAATAATGAGGTGAGTTGAAACATTTGCACACGTGATAGCATAATTTTCTATAAATTGTGAAACAATGGATAATTCTTTATCAAAGTATAATTGTGTGAGATCTTTCTAAAATGTTTTGATTATAACAAATATAATAATGTAATCAAATGGTAGATTGGTAGATTGGATATGCACTTTTCGATACAATATTATTTAAAATTTGATATAAAACAATGTATACGCATAAGAAAAGTGAAAAAAGAATGCATGATAGATAGGTCGGGTGGGCTCCATGCACAATGCACAACATCGGGCCGTGAGAAGCAGTGGCGAAGCCACCGAGGGTGCCAGGGTGGGCCTGGCACCCCCTATCCCCATGCGCTGCATGCAAACCTTCGGGTGATTAGCCATCTAATCAATACAATTCGCTCATTAATTAGTTGTCTATATCTAGCTATCCACCTGAGTTAATTGACATAGCTAAGGGATGTGGCTGCAAGTCTCCAAAACTAAAAAGGATGAATAGAAATGATGTCATGTCATTCAAGTACTGAGTAGTGTTGGTGCTATTTAGTGACATGGTTTAAAAATGATTCTTTTTATGCTACATTAAAGTATATTCGGACTCGGACATACACTCTCCATACTAAAATAAGTTTAATTTTATATATAAATCTAGAAGAACATGTTAAAATATATCCAAAATCATATCAACAATCATTTTATGTATATATTAATGCAAACGATCGACAAATAACTACAAAATTCAAAGTATAATCATACGAGGGGCGACTACGCATATTAGAGTGAACAAAAGGCGATTTGGTGAGGCCAATCTGCCACTCTGCAGGATCTGAGCCCAGCCGTGCTTACCATATATATGCAGGCTGGGTGGGCGTCCGATATAGTTTAATGCGGAGTCATCTCCAGATGTAAGCTAGGAGTTGAAATAGTTGACTACGTGAATTTACCGTTAGTTTCTTTTCAGGAATGACTATATTACACCTTCCTTGTACATCTCATAGAAAAAGATGCTCACTGTAGAGTATTGAATTAAACAATTTTGTTTTTCATTAATTGATTTTATATACTCCATTTGTTCACTAGTTCATGTTGTTTTGGGAATACATATACAGCCTGCCGCATAGTTTGATCTTGGCTCAATCTTTTCCATCCTCTTAATTAGGGTTTTGCTTTAATTATTCCTTTTATGCTCTTAGTTTTCTACTTTTGAATAAACATTGAACAAAAGCGTTAAGCCGCATGAATTAAATGGATATATCAAGTATAGTCTTGCGAGTATATATATGCAAGGGAGCATCTTTAATTTAGTACACCGTTTTCAACAAATTATTTTAGGCGTCTAGATATTTCAAATTTTAGAATGAAACAAAGTACTTTGGTTCCTCCTATAAAAGAAATACTTTGGTTGGAAGGCACATACCGAGAGCAATTTGTGCAGGTAGAGGGAACTTTTGGCTGCACTCGTCTATCTTGGGACCGCCTCCTCTAGGCTGGTAACCTGTGCGACATTTGCAGTGATAATCTCCTACGGTGTTTCTGCAGTCCCCGTGGCAGGGATATTCATCCGAGCGAGCGCACTCATCAATATCTGCATATATACTGTTCGATTCAATGGCGGGTGTACAAATAACTTAATTTGAATTTTTTTAAAAAAAATTGTATTGGTAAACAGACATAGATGGCATGACTAGCGTGGGATGCACAATAGTGCAAACTCAATACTCCCTCTATTTCATAATATAACACATTTTGATTTGGTATTATAAATGTTGCTATTTTTTTTAAACTAATTTTGTCAAACGTAAGAAAAGTTTGACTTTGAAAAAATTAACAAAAATACTATAAAATGGCAATACCGTTCAAACGATATAGTTGAAATCAGTATGTTAGGTAGGTATCATGATTTGATACTTATGAGATATCATGTTTGATACCCGATATCAAATCTAGTATTGTAGGTACCATACTGACGTTATTATAATACCCAGATATCAAAGTATGGTATCTATGAGTATCGTGTTTGGTACCTGTGGTACCTAAGATATCGTCAGCACATATGAGCTATTTCATTAGAACTGTGTAGCATTCGGTAGTAGGCCTAAAAAATTAAAATGTCTAACAATATGAAAGATAGCGAGTAGGAAAGAGTAGATTGTTTGTCTCGTGTACGTGTTCTTACCGTTGCAACCTCCGACTAGGTAGGGGTTGCCCTCGTAGCCTTTGCTGCACTTGCAGTAGTATCCTGGGCCATTGGTGGAGTTGACGCATTCGCTGTTGTCGCTCACACAGGCGTACTCAGGCGGCATCTTCTCCCTCACCTCCGGCGCAGGGCAGGACGATGATGCGGAGGAGTTGCCGCCGTCGCGGATCGCCCAGTCCAGCCACACCGGCTTGGTCCGGTTGAGGTCCTTTTGGAGATCTGACCTCTGGAAGTTGTATTCGTCCTTGGCGACGAGGAAGGCGTAGTTGCAGGGGTTGAAGTCCACCTGGAAATAGCGTGACCACTCGCCGAAGGTGACGACGTTGTCACTGAGGCCCGGCGAGATGTCGACATGGCAGCAGCCGATGCCGGCGCACATGCCGTCCTGCGCGCTCGACGAGTCGTTGCAATAGGAGACGCAGCCGGTGTAGTAGAGGCCGGCGTAAGGGCCTTTGCCATGACTGTCCCCGTTGTTCGTGTAGGCCATGGTGTTGCAGCCGAGGACGACGAACATGTTGCGCTTGTCGGAGATGCGGTACACGCCGTTGTTGTTGAGGTCTACCGCGCCGAAGAAACTCTCGGTGACGCTGTCGCTGGAGTTGTAGCACTGGTACGCCACCGGCAGCATCACCTTGACCTCCGGGATCGGCGCTACAAACAGGCTCTGCACATGGATGGTGCCATTGGCGGCGGCGAGGGTCGGCACCAACTCGCCGCTGCCGTTTCGGGTTCGGGTATCGCAGGCGATCTCGAAGCCCTTCCCATGGGAGCAGTTGGGGCCGATGCCGAACGGGTAGGGGATGCTGACGTCACCGCACCGTGTCTGGCAACCGGCGGCAGGCCGGCCGGAGATGCTCTCCGCGGCAGAAGCCAGAAGAATCAGCAGGTCTGCAAGTAGCCAGAATGCCATGAACGCATGTAAGTTGTACAACATTAACTGGGAACTTATTTCCTAGATATATGAGTAGGAGTAGCTGCAGCTCTTCCTTTAATTAGTTTCCCTTCAATAAGCTCCAATTGTCTGTGGCGCGTGTATTTATAGATAGCAGAGCTGTGTTTGTCCACCTGCTACGATCTACTCTTTCCCTCTTAAAATACTATATTATAGCTATATATATTTGGTATTCAAATTTTGTTTTATAATATAACTAATTCTTCACCTACCCGTTGATCTAATATAATTTTTTTTAAAACAAGTAACATGCTTTTTCAAAACAAGTAAAACAAATATGTGCACTCGAAAAACGAGGGAGGTGAAGTTGGGAAAGTGAACTTAAGAACGCAACATAAGTTCGAGGTTGAGGAGTACAAAAAAGTACCTAAGGTAGTAAGTGGTCAAACTGAAAGTATAGGCCAAAATACAGAGGTCCCATACTCCAATGGGAAGCATTGGTAAATAAATGTGTCCAAAATCTTAAAATTGCAGTTCGTTCTTATTTTTTTTAAAATTATAATTTCAAAATTAATTCCTTTTCCCATCAATAAGTAAGTACACGGTACACATGACCTCTACGCCGCTCGCTTGACTCGATCTTCGTGTACTTACTATACAAACTGCAGTCCGCACCCGTTCACCAGACTGGAGGTAGGAATGAGTACATATATACATTGAGAAATATTAGGAACTTAACTTTGAAGGGAAGAAGCATATGTATATGGATATATATAAATGAGAGATTTGCAAAATATATCAAGTCACTTGTTTTTTTATATCAGGCAAATACATTAGGGTTAATTGGATACATGCCAATAAAAATTTATCAGTTTCGAAATATGCCACTTGTATTCATGTATTTGGAAATATATCATTATAATTTTACACATATTTAAAAGATACCACTACTTACCCCTCGGATGCATTTCCAGAAAAAATTGGACCAAACTACCCCTTTTCCCTCTTCTTCTTTCTTCCCCTTTCTTCTTCCTCCTCTCTTCCTGCTTAGCAGCACGGCGGCAAGCAGCAGCAGCGGCGGAGCGTGAGCAGCGTGGTGGCAGAGCAAGAAGCACTAGTGGAGAAATGGTCTTTACCCCCAGTTCCTAACCCCCTATACTCCTGGTTTTGTAACCGAGAATAGGAATCCAGGACTAAAGATAGGAATCTTTAGTCCTGGGTGAAATAACCGGAACTAAAAATCCATCTTTAGTCCCTATTAGTATTACCAACCGGGACTACAGATATATAGGGTCACGTCCCAACTGTTTTATTTATTTATTGTTTTTTTGCTGCCTGTATCTATTTTCCTACCCAACCGGGACTAAAGATCAAAAAGTGACGTCAGGTCTTTTAACCGGGACTAAAGATATTTTTTAGTCCCGGTTCCTATTTAAACCGGGATTATTTTGGATTTTGGGCAACCGACCAAAGATGGTTTCTTCAGTAGTGAAGCAACGTGAAGAGAGAGGTAGAAGATAAGAGAAGAGAGAGGTAGAAGATGAGGGTATTTTCGTCCAATACATGCAAAATACGTATCTTAGAGGCACAACTGAGATTACAAACAAGTAGCAGTGGCATCGTTACAAATGCGTAAATTGTAATGGTATATTTTGAAACCAGCAAAATTTTAATGGCACAGATCTAATTAAGCTAATATATTACTACCCGGCTTTGTAAAAAGCCCAGAAGAAAATTAATAGGTTCTTACAGAATCTTACAAAAGTAGACAGCAATAAACAGGGTAACAAAAGGCTTCGCGACACTGGGGTCCCCAGCTTTCCATGAAAGGTGCAGACCATAAAAAAGTCCTAAAACGTAACCTCCCTCACTAACCACATCCTGTATAGGGGTGGAAACGAGCCGAGCAGAGCCGGCTCGGCTCGGCTCGTGAAAGCTTGGTACAAGGAAAGCTCGTCTTGGCTTGGCTCGCTACAAACAACGAGCTAAAAGTGCAGCTCGGCTCGGCTCGTTTATGGGCTCGAGCTAGCTTGGCAGGTCTAAGAGAAATGAAGCAACATTTTACCACATAGAATGTGTAATAAAGTGATATTTTTCTTTAATATGTCATCACAACACATAAATAGATAATATGACAATCAAAATTATCATTTTCAACAAATAAATAGTTAGAAAAGGTGTAAAACTTTTGCATATGACACTATTGTACTGAGCCAAGCGAGCTCACGAGCGGCTCGTGAGCCGGCTCGGGCTTGGCTCGTTTCGGAAACGAGCTAGGAAGGAGGCTTGGGCTTGGCTCGTTTGGCTTTCGAGCCGAGCCGAGCTATGTGAGCCTGAGCCAAGCCTGAGCCGAGCTCACGAGCCCAAGCTTTTTTCCACCCGTAATCATGTATATACGCAACTGGAACAGAAAACGACACACTCTCCCAAGCTACCCCAAGTCTTCGGTAGATTGTCAACCACCCGCAAACCGTCCAGAATGAGCATTACTTTCTCATGGAAATCATCCAAGTCAGCGCAGTTTTTTATTTTAGTAGCAGCCTCCATCTTTGCATCAGGGACAGAGACATGTACAGACAACTTGCAAAGGAGTTTTGATTAGTTTGTTTTCAAACACCCACTCATTCCTTGTAATCCATAAACCCCACAACATCCCAGCAAACAGTACCATACCCACTTGAGATTTCATTTTTGTTTTGATAGCTCTCATACCATCCCAGAAAGATAGAGAGACAGTATGTAAATTCAACACCATGGCAATTACATTCCAAGCAAAATGAGCCAAAGGACAAGTAAAAAGAACATGCCCTGTGCTTTCCTCATTTAAAGACAATTTACACTTCTTATCAAGTGACTTGTTAATCGCCACATGTAATAATCCATTATCAGATCATACTCAATGAGGGGTTTGCAAAATATATTACTCCCTCAGTTTTATATCATAAGCCGTTTTGATATTTTTTAAGTTAAAATTCTTTAGATTTGACTAAGCTTATAGAAAAACTTAGCGAAATCTACAACAACAAATTAGTTTCATTAAATAAAATAGCATTGAATATATTCTGATATTTTGTTTTTATGTTAAAAATATTGCCATATTTTCTTCACAGGCTTAATCAATTTTAAGAATGTTTGATATGAAAAAAAATAAAAAATAACTTATAATATGCAACAGAGGAGCGAGTATAGTCAATTATTTACTGCAGCTAGCTACCACACATGCACGAAGTGAAAATAATTAGTATGTTCCAGTTTTCATTAAGATACAAATTGTGTCCTAGTTTTTATTAACACACTTTTCAAACTAATAATCGGTACGTTCTGTGAAAAATATTTTATATAGAATTTGAGTTAAAATATTAAATATATCCATTTCATGAGTTTAAAATAATTAATCAAACATCAATGGTTTCCTCGTTTCGCGTGCCTAAGCTTAGTAGGACTGCCGAACGGGGCCATATGTTGCGATCAGAGTTAGGAAACGGAAAGCTACATACATGGCGTCGGGCCGTCGGCACGTACGGCTGCAATGTGGAAGGCCTCGGCAAAGTCGTCGTCGGAGGTCGTAAGGGCAAATTTCGCCGACGGAAATCGTCGTTGGTGGTGCCCGCATGCATGGCTGCATTATTAATATTGTACAATAGGAAAACTGCGACTGTTACGGTTATGCCATCTCAATGTCAAAGGGAAAAACTATACTAAAAAAAAATAGCACAACCCAGGTCGTCACAGTATACTACTCCATCAGTCGCATCCCTCCGTTCCAATTTAACAGCACTTATATGTTTGGGGCAATTTCGTTTCTACCCCTACTTTGATGTCTAATATTAATTTTACCCCTACTTTTTAGGGTTTTCGTTTTTACCCTCGCTTTTTTTAACTGAATGTTTGTTTTGCCCCTATTTTGGATGGTGAAGTTAACGGTGTTAAGTAATTGATAAAATAATGTTTATACCCTCTCATGCATGTTCATTAATTGTGTTTTTTCCCCCATTTTATACATGTAGCTTTGGAACTTTATTTTTGAGAGTATATTTTAAATTAGATGACGCACATTGACTAATATAACAATTTGGAAAAATTCTGAATTTGATGGAATTTTGACAAAATTTCAGCATTTTGATAGAACTTAAACAAAAATTTGACAACATTTTGTAAAATGTAATTATCTGTTCCCTTTAAATATTAGTCAATGTGCTTCATGTAATTTGAAATATACTCAAAAAAATAAAGTTCTAAAGCTACATGCATAAAATGGGGACAAAAACAATATTAATGAGCATACATGAGAGGGTATAAATGTCATTTTATCAATTACTTAACACCGTTAACTTCACCATCCAAAGTAGGGGCAAAACAAGCGTTCAGTTCAAAAAAGTGAGGGTAAAAACGAAAACTCTAAAAAGTAGGGGTAAAATCAATATTAGAGATCAGAGTAGGGGTAGAAACGAAATTTTCCCTATATGTTTTCATGGTCAATGTTTGTCTATCTGTTTTATTTGAAATTATTTTATTAATATTATTTTATTGTTATTAGATGGTAAAACATGAAAAGTATTTTATGTATGAGTGTATGACTTATCATTTTAAATTTTTTCATAAATTTTTCAAATAAGATGGATGATCAAATGTTGCACTTCAAATGGGACAGAGAGAGTACCTTGGTCATTGACTTTTGGACGTTAAATTCGTCTTACTCAAAAAGTTGGTAATTATTATTTATTTTAATGCGAATTGTTTTATCACTAAAAATACTTTAACACTACTGCATAAACACAAATAGGTGCCGGTTGAAAACCCCCGCACAGGTGCCGATTGGGAAACCGGCACATAGTAGGTGGTACTAATGAGAGAAATCAAAGGTAATGGTTCTAAAACCGGCATCTTTGAGGCCCCAAGACAAATAAAAAAAGCCGTTCGATGTAGCTCCCAATCACCCCTGAATCAATCAACTCGAACACAATCGCACAATCAACTTCCAAAAAAAATCATTATCCACATCAACAAAAAAAAATCCA